GGAGCAGCATTTGGCCTTCGGAGCAGCATTGGGCCCTTCGGAGCAGCATTTGGCCTTCGGAGCAGCATTTGGCCTTCGGAAGCAGCATTTGGCCTTCGGAGCAGAGTTTGGCCTCGGAAGCAAGCGTTGGCCTTAGGAGCAGCGTTTGGCCTTCGGAGCAGCGTTTGGCCTTCGAGCAGCGTTTGGCCTTCGGAGCAGCGTTTGGCCTTCGGAGCCAGCGTTTGGCCTTCGGAGCAGCGTTTTGGCCTTCGGAGCAGCGTTTGGCCTTCGGAGCAGCGTTGCCTTGAGCAGCAATCCTGTGCCCAGAAGACATTGCACCCTATGCTCTAGCTAGCTCCATCGCCTTCCTTTCTTCTCCCTCTGTTTAACCTTCATACCAATCAATTTGTCTTTCCGTGACTTCACCTTGCCAGGTATCAGAGCATCTGTCGTTCGGAGCGGCACTGCTGTGCCCGGAAGGACATCGCCTCCGCCCGCCCAGCCTCAAACTCCCTTCACTCATCTCCACGTCGCTCTCCCCTTCTGCTGTGTCTGCCACTCACCAACCTCGCCTCCCACAGGTATCAGAGCATCTGTCGTTCGGAGCAGCACTGCTGTGCCCAGAAGACATCACCTCCGCGCACCAAAGGCTGGTCCGTCCTCCCCTCTCTTTTCCCCACTCTTTTCCCCACTCTTTTCCCCACTCTTTTCCCCTCTCGCTCTATACACCCTTTCCCACTCTTTCTATGCGCCCCTCACCTCGCCCGTCTCTCATTTTGCCCCTCTCCCTCATGTATGCACCCCTCCTCCTCTGGCTGGGCTGTGTTCTGACATTTCTCCCCCGTCTCACAGTCACTACCCTATCCTCCCCTGTGATTTGCTGCTCCTTCCTCTTCCATTGGTCCCACTTGCTTCTGCACAAGAAGTTGGCTTTTGGCTAGGAAAAGAGTAAAAATCAGATCAAAAATCCTTCTATATAGTCACTTTCCCCTCTTGTATGCCTGCTGGCCTTTCCTCTCCCATAGGCACCAGCTTGGTTCCTCGTCCTGTTGAAACTCGATGTAGATGCTGCAGCTATGTTGTCCCTACCCAACCCCTTCAAACCCCCTCGCTCATATCCCACATCAGGCCACGACAGCAGTGTTGGACCTGCAGCGAGCCACAGAGAAGCTCAACTGGGCGGTGGACGTGGATGGCACACATAGCCTCGTCCTCCCCTCACATGGTCTTCATGACCCCTCCCTCCCTTTCTCCCTCCACCATCCCACATCAGGGCACGACAACAGTGTTGGACCTGCAGCGAGCCACAGAGAAGCTCAACTGGGCGGTGGACGTGGATGGCACACATAGGCTGTTCCTCCCCCACTCTCCCCACCGCCCTCCACCCTTTCCAATCTCTGTCCCTCCCACTCTAACTCTTTGCACCGCAGGGCACGACAGCAGTGTTGGACCTGCAGCGAGCCACAGAGAAGCTCAACTGGGCGGTGGACGTGGATGGCATGAACCGGGCGGCAAGAGACGCTGGGGTGATGGTGGTGCACCACCCAATCAGGTCAGCTGCTTTTGCTTGCGGTGCTGATGGATCTGGGGCGTTACTGCATGAGGAGGGCGTGTGATGTGGATGGGTGGGACCAGGGTCTATGGGGCAGGGGATGTGGGGGTGATGGTGGTGCACCACCCCATCAGGTGAGCTGCTTTCGCCCCTTTCCTCACCCTACCTTGTCCCTCTCCCCACCCCCAGGCACCACGACGGGCATGACTTGAGGCGGAAGCTCCCAGTGGCAGTGGGGATTCTGCACCGCCTGCTGCGCCGGGGCCTGCATGTGCTGGTGACGGACACAGATGGGGTGGACAGGGCGCCAGCAGTGGTGTGCGCGTATCTGCACTGGGTGCTCGCCATCCCCTTGCCCCAGGCTCTTCACTTCGTGTGTGACGTCCGCCCCTGCCAGCCCAACCGGTGAGCCACGGGTTTGTGCAGTTTAGTACGGTTCAGTGCGGTTCTGCGTAATAAAGTGTGGTTCAGTGTGGTTCTGCGCGTTTTAGTGCGGTGCAGTGCGGTTCTGGGAGTTAAGCTGTGGTGGCTGCATGTGTTGGTGACGGACACAAATGGGGTGGACAGGGCGCCCGCAGTGGGGTGTGCGTATCTGCACTGGGTGCTTACCATTCCGTTGCCATAGGCTCTTCACTTTGTCTGCGACGTCCGCCCCTGCCAACCCAACCGGTGAGCTGTTTAGTATGGTTCAGTGTGATTTTTTGTGGCTCAGTGCAGTTCAGTGCGGTTCTGTGAGCTGAGCAGTGTTGGCTGCATTTGCTGGTGGCAGACAGCCCATCCCATTCGCCCACCGATCCTCCCACCCATCCTCCCACCCATCCTCCCACCCATTCTCAGGGCGGCACTGACAGCAGCGACATGGGATGGGATCTGGTGGCCACGACTTCTCCTTGCCCTCTTCCCTCTCCCTACTCAACCCCTCCCGTCCCTCCCATTCCATCGTCCCACCCATCCTCCCACACGTCCCTTCCATCTTATCTTAATTTCAGGGCGGCACTGGCAGCAGCAACATGGGATTTGGTGGCCATGCTGCGGCGTGGGGTGAGGCACACAGGGCCTACCACCCACCCACCCCACTCTCCGCCCTCCCCCTCTCCCATTCCATCCACCCTCCCATCTCAGGGCGGCACTGGCAGCAGCAACATGGGATTTGGTGGCCATGCTGCGGCGTGGGGTGAGGCACACAGGGCCTGCCACTCATTCGGTGCAGATCGCATGGAACCATGGGGGGGCGCGAGGTGAGTGCAGCTTGTCAATGTACGGTTACCAGAGAGGGTGGTTAGTGGTTACCACCAGAGAATGTGGTTACCACAGACTGCCCCACCACTCACTCGGCGCAGATCGCATGGAATCATGGGGGTGCGAAGCCGTCTTGTGTAGTGTATGGTTTGCTGGAATGTGTTGGCCAGAGAATGTGGTTACCAGAGAATGTGGTTACCAGAGAATGTGGTTACCAGAGAATGTGGTTACCAGAGAATGTGGTTACCAGAGAATGTGGTTACCATAGAATGTGGTTACCATAGAATGTGGTTACCAGAGAATGTGGTTACCATAGAGTGTGGTTACCATAGAATGTGGTTTCCACCGACTTCCCTGCCACTCACTTGGCACAAATCACAGTGAATTACGAGAGCTCGACGTGAGGAGGGGAGTGGGCCCCATCTCACACCGATGTAATTTCCACTAAATTCCCTTCCGTTCCACCCATCCCGCATGCAGGTGCTTCTGGTGGGGGAGCTCTCGGGCGGGTGGAAAAACCCAGTGGCGGCCACTCCAGTTGGGGGTTCCAAGTTTGTTCTCGCGCTCAGGCTGCCCCTCGGATCGTGAGTCTCTGCTTCTCTCTCTCCTCTTCCGCCACGCCTGTGTGGTGCCGAAAGGTCTGCCTTTTACCAGTCAGTCACCTGCTCAAAGTCTATTCTCTTCTCTCGCTCACACTGCCCCTCGGCACTGGCAGCATGCAGCAGCAGACCTGCTTCCTCTCACTCTCTCTCTCTCTCTCTCTCTCTCTCTCTCTCTCTCTCTCTCTCCTCTCTCTCTCATCTCTCTCTCTCTCTCTCTCTCTCTCTCTGCACGGCACTCCTTTGTGCATCACCTTCCTCTCACCTTCTTCTCACTTCCTCTCCTGGTGCAGTTATTGCTACGAGTTCATAGTGGAACGGGCACTGGCGCCATGCAGCAGACCTGCTTCCTCCACTCCCTCTCTTGATTTGCGCTTCTTTCATGTGCCCGCACTCTTTTTCGCACTCTCTGCCCGACTCTCATACCTCCCTCCCCCCCTCTTGTAGCTACCGCTACAAGTTCATAGTGGACGGGCACTGGCGCCATGCAGCGGACCTGCCCACGGAGGTGGACGAGTGGGGCAACACCAACAACGTGCTGCACGTGGGGTCGCTGGCTCGCCACAACAATGTAAGTCTGTGCTTACGTGTATCTGTATGCTCACACAACACTTTTGAGGCGCCTCAAAAATGCCCACACAACACCAATTGTATGCTCCTCCACACATCTCAAGTGGGGCAACACCAACAACGTGCTGAACGGGGGGGGCCCTAGCCCGGCACACAAATGAAAGTCGGTGGTGCTTCAGGTGGGTGTCACAACACCAACAACGTGTTGCACGTGGGACCGCTGGCCCCGCACACCAACATGAGTCTGAGCGCCCACGTGTCTCTCTGTACACACGTGTTTGCACACAATTCTGGCTGAGGAGCATGTGAAGGAGATCTGCCCACGGAGGTGGACGACTGGGCCAACACCAACAACATGCTGCACGTGGGGTCGCTGGCTCGACACAACAATGTAAGTCTGTGCTTACGGCTGAGGAGCATGTGAAGGAGATCTGCCCACGGAGGTGGACGAGTGGGCCAACACCAACAACGTGCTGCACGTGGGGTCCCTGGCTTGCCACACCAATGTAAGTCTGTGCTTACGGCTGAGGAGCATGTGAAGGAGATCTGCCCACGGAGGTGGACGAGTGGGGCAACACCAACAACGTGCTGCACGTGGGGTCCCTGGCTTGCCACACCAATGTGAGACTGCTCTGCCGACAAGTCTGACTGTGAATGGTCACCTCCACAATCACCCACGTTGCTCACATGCGCTTGACTGTCCCTTCGTCTGCCTCTCTCCCTGTCTTCCTCTCTTCACCCGGTCTCCTGGCTCCCTGTCTCTTCACCTCCTTGTCTGCCACTCTCCCTGTGTCTTTTGAGCAGGATGCGGTGAGGGAGAGGGTGATAGAGCGCCCTCTCACGGACCTCGAGAGGCGAATGGTCACCTTCGCTTCGCAGCGCGTTGCTTTTTCCGTCTCACCCATCACCTTCACGCCCAAGCTCAGACCAGCTCGCTCTTGAGTTCATTCTCAACGCTTCTCTTTGGTTAATTCTTACAGCTTCTCATCGCCCTGCAGCGCGTTGCCTTATCCGTCACACCCCGCCGCTTTCAAGCCCAAGCTCCGCCCAGCACGCTCATGAGTTGTGTTGGTTGCATCACATTGCCTCATGAGCAGGGCTCTCGTTAGCAGACTAATTTAGTCTGTTGGTCTAGGTTTCAGGCGCGAAATGTATCGTTCATATGCTGTGGCAGACTTTAGCTTATGGGCAATATGAGAGCCAAGACAAATGCTATAGCGTCATATGTTTTTTCAGGAAAATTATAGCAATTCATCTGATCCAGCAGAAATCGCGTATTATTTTGTCTGAGACAAAATGGCCCAGTTGGCCAGAGGAGCAGCGAGGTGTTGCATGTGAAGGCACGCGTAATGATTTTTGCGTGAGGGCACGGGGGTGAATTTCGGATTCTTCCTGCCAGCGCATTCTGCATCTGACTCAGTTGCTGCCACGCATCTGTCGGGTAGCTGTTGTCGGCGCCGCTGCCAGGCTGTCGCCCCTCACCTCGCTGGCAGAGTGCAAGGACAGTCGGTGCACATCAAAACAAAGCATGCACACACCTTCGTGAAACCCTCGTGAGAGAGGCGCGGCGCGGTTCGTGAGGTGATGGTCCTTTCCCTTCCTATCTTCTCCAAGCCTTTCTTTGACAACCTGCCTTCACATTTCAATCTTTGACGCCTAGCCCGAAGCATACCTATCGTCCCGTAGCTTGTTCCCGCGTACCGTCTAGAATTCCTTTCTTGCTACTGCCTCATGTGAGGTGATACACCACCTCACACCATGCTATTTGGCGCCCTCGAGTCAACCGACAGCGCTAGGCGTGATCCACCCGGGGTACTTGACGAGCCACGGGTTTCTGCGTCAGATTTCCTAACCCGTAAAGCTCCGGCAGCAATTCCTGTGACCACCACTGCCGCAGTCGAGACGCCTCCGCCTGTAATTCCTTCCCCCAACGTCATCACATCCTGCAACGACGAGCCGCTTATCCCCTCGCAATCTACGTCAGACGCTACTGAGACTGCGACCCAGCCTAACCCGGCTGAAGCTGAGTCTTCGCCGCCGCCCGTTTCGGCATCTGTGGCCACAACTCTACCGGCGATTTCTGTTTCTCGCATTAGAGCACGAAACGGCAAATACAAACAGCGAATTCTGAGCTTTGCCCGTCCCACTGCAGGTGTCCCGCCAGCAACCGTCCCCCGCTTTAGCACAACTCGCCCGGGCCCGTCACAACCCGTCGACGCCAACGACGACGACAAGTATCCGCGCGCCTTGACCGTCGAGCAGTGGCAGCAGAAGGCTAACGAGAAATGGCGAAAGCACTTCCCGTGGCTCATCATCTCGGAGACTTCATGGGGTCAACCTTGCATGAGGTGTTCAATCTGCATGGTGCACGGAGACCCCAGTGTCAGAGGTCCACTGGTGATCCCCGATCGATCCTAGGGAAGGGTTACAGGCACATTTGCCTGGGGGGTTATGGGCGCACTGACCCGCTACTGAAACAAGCCCTTTTATCCCAATGGTCTAGTGGTTGGGATTCTGAGATGGTATCAGAGCGAAGGTCTCGGGTTCGAATCCCGGTGTATGCACTTCGGGCATCCCAGTGCGGGGGGGTGTCAGAGGTCCACTGGTGATCCCCGATCGATCCTAGGGAAGGGTTACAGGCACATTTGCCTGGGGGGTTATGGGCGCACTGACCCGCTACTGAAACAAGCCCTTTTATCCCAATGGTCTAGTGGTTGGGATTCTGAGACCCAGCTACCAGTACGGCCGCAATGGAGAGGGTGGGGTGGACATTCAACGACAGACGATGCGGAAACATCAGCATTCCATCAAGCATGAGGCGTCAATGGACCGCCAACAGCTACGTGACGGCAAGAATGCTGCTCAGAAGTCGATTGTCGACTTCGAGAATGGTGACGAGGAAGCCAAGCGTTTGACAAAACTCCTGGCAACAGTTATTTTTATTTGCAGAAGCGACTCACCCATTGTGTTGTTTGTGACTCTGGTCCAGTTCATGGCAGAGATGGGCACGCTCGACATGCCCCTGAAGGATTCCGGCACCTACTACAGCGAGTATGTGTTTTTTTTTTTTTGCGGGTTTAGGGTTTCGTTGAAAACCACGGTACTAATTACCTTGTCACTGGTCGTTACAGGTACGGATTTGCGCAGTTGGTTGAGACGCTTGTCATCTACCTCCGTGCTCAATAGATGAAGCACATCCGAGATAGTCCTTACCTAGGCATTCAATTGGACGAGAGCACGGACCGTCGGCGCGGGAAGCACCTAATAGTCTACTTGTCGTTCCTCCGCAGCAACACTCCCGTCACTGAATTTTTCGCGCAGCTAATAATTGAGCAGTGCGATGCTGGTTCCCTGCAGGCAGTCCTTCTAGCCCACCTGGAGTCTACCGGCCTCAACCTTGAGCGCATCAGTGGCATCAGCACTGACGGTGCAAGCGTCATGGTCGGTTATCAGACGGGCCTGGTGGCACGCCTTCGTGGGCGGATTCCACACCTCGCAGGGTTCCACTGCATCGCGCACAGGTTTGTAACCCTGTGATGTTATGCTTACCTTTTAATCGTTGCATATGTATCTAGCTTGTTGCTTTTCCGTGTTGTGTCAGGGAAGCTTTGGCCGCAAAGGATGCAGCAGAGGCCTTCCCCGACCTTGACATCGTCGACCATGTCGTCCGTTCCTTAGCGAAGCTCCTTGGACGGTCGGGCAACTTCCACCTACGCTTCAAAGAGCTGCAGGAGGTGCTGTGTGAAACTAACCTGGAGTTGCAGGGCATCCACAGCGTCAGGTGGCTTTCACGTGGTCTGACGGTGCAGCAACTGGCTGACAACCTTCCAGCTGCTGTCATACTGTTGTACGAGAACGACCCGAAGGCGTACCTCCTTGTAATCAGTTTGAAATTCCATTTCATGCTGTTTTTCTTGGCTGATGTGTTGAAGGAACTCAACGCACTGAACCTCAAGTTCCAGTGACGGTAGGTACGCTGATACGCCTCTTGCTGTTAACTGTTTTTAGCGTAAATGAATCGTGTTAATGAGATATTTACCCGTGCATGCCTTTCCACCTGTGAAGCAAGGAAAACAGGAATGAATGAACTAGCAGTGAAATGAGTACAAGTAGGAAACCCTAGAATTGTGTACCCCCTATAGGCTAACCCACTGTAGCCTACATAAGCATAACATATATAATGTTTGACACACCCCCATAGGCAAAGTGGGGGAGAACAAGGGGTCACAAGACCAGTCAAGCAAAGCAAAGCAAGCTCAGGGTGGATCACAAAGTCACCACACAGTCCGAGCACAAGAGGAGGGCCAGAGGCCAGTTTACATGCAGGAGTACAGACATATATATAAAACTAGACAAGCAAGAGCAGGTATATATATATATGTCACAGTACAAGTGAAGTCAAGAGGAGAGCAAGTGAGGCAAGACAGGCACAAGACCCAGCTGGGTGCAAAAGCGCTGATGGTCACAAGGCGCAAGTGCCTTGGTGAACACATCAGCAGTGTTGGCCTCAGAGGCCACGTACGCAAGTCGCAACTGACCACGCTGCTGCAGCTCACGAGCAAGGAAGTAGCGGAGAGCAATGTGCTTCGTTCTGTGCTCCAAGCGCTGCTCTCGACACAAGGCCAGCATGGCCTTGTTGTCTACGTACAGCACTGGAGGAGAACGAGGCGGCTCTCCAAGGTCAGTCAGCAGGTAGGTGAGCCAGCGAAGCTCCTGTGCAGCCATGGCCCCGGCGTAGATCTCAGCCTCACAACTGGAGCCGAGAACCGAAGACGAGCGAGTAGACCGCCACGAGACAGAGCCGGAACCAAGGCTGAAGGTGTAACCCTGTGACGACCGCTGCGTAGCCTGGTCGTCAGCCCAAGAAGCGTCCGCGTGGCCGGTAAGGACCACTGGACTCCGCCCTCCAAGCACTAGCCCCATGCCCGACGTACTGCACAGGTAGCGCAATACCCTCTTCGCTGCAGCCATGTGCTCTGGTCGGTGTCTCCCAGGAGCAACATAGCGTGCAAGAATGCTCAGAGGGTATGCAAGGTCAGGTCGTGTGCAGGTCATCAGGTACATGAGGCAGCCAACAAGCTCTGCATACGGACCACTCGACTCTACGGACTCATCCGAAGGCAGAGCTGAGAGTGAGTGGCGAGTAGGCAGAGGAGTGGCCTGAGGCGAGGAGTACGTGAAGCCGAAGCGCTGAAGGACCTGCTGCACCATGTGTGACTGAGTCAAGGTAATGGTGCGGCGTGCTCTGTCCCGAGTGATCTGCAAGCCAAGGTAGCTGCGCAGTTCACCCAGGTCTGTGCACGTGTGTCTCTTCAGCAGCTCGGACTTCACGTAGGCGAGTCCAGCAGTGTCCGCTGTGGCAAAGACCAAGTCGTCGACGTACACGAGGATGTAGAACGGCGGCAGGGAAGTGTCGGTGCGAAGAAACAGCGACGGGTCAGCAGTAGAAGGAGCAAACCCAAGAGCCGCAAGCGTAGTCCTCAGTGTGTCGTGCCACTCACGCGGTGCCTGGCGGAGACCGTAGACTGGCCGTCGGAGGCTCCACTGGGTGCCAGGAGGGAAAGTCCCAGTGAAGCTAGGTGGACGGCGCAGCCAGATCTCCTCGTGCAGGCTACCCTGCAGGAACGCAGTGCTGAAGTCGAGAGAGTGAAGCTCGTAGTCGCGCTGAGCGGCTATGTGCAGCAGCACCCGAAGAGTGGTCATCTTCGGGGTGGGAGAGAAGGTCTGAAAGTAGTCAACTCCCTGCCGCTGATTGAAGCCACGAGCAACGTACCGCGCCTTGAAGACAGGTGGAGAGCCCGGCGGCCGCTTCACCCTGAAGATCCACATGCCACTGACGATGTTCGCCCCAGGAGGGGGAACCGCGTCAACGTAGGTGCCTGTGGACTTCCAGGAAGCCATCTCTGCATCCATAGCTGCCTGCCACTGAGAGGAGTAGGGAC